AACATAACTTTGAAATAACCTCTCAGACACCTCTGTGATTTTAATTCAGTCACCAATATTGCCAAAAAAGGGGAATAATTTGTTTTAGCTTTCAATTCTTTTGATCTTGACCTAAGAAGAAGCTAAACCTGGATTGAACATGAATGTGAGATACCTAACACCAGAAAACCGGCCTATAAACCCCAGTTTTCATGTCGTTAGTTCTCGTGTCTGTGTGGGAAAGGCACACGAGGGCCTGGTACACGCTAGGGGAACGCACCATGGACAATACCGGCACAGCAGACGACCAGGGCCGTGCCTGTTATTGGAACAAATTACATTACTCTCTGAGACTGGACCATGATGGACGGCAATTGACCTCACGAGCCTCTGTTCTCGGGTCTACATCTAAGATATACCCTCCAAGATTTGGTAAAATAAAGTATTAAAATGAATGTGTAAAAAATAAAAAAAAAATATATGACCCATATTCAAGAGGCGGAGGGAGGGGGGTATTATTTTTAGAATGGAGTTGGAGGTTGAATTCCCACGTCAGTTTACAGAGGAAAATCACAGAACCAGCTTTTCCTGCCCGCCGCGACAAATTAAGTTATCTAGGTGAACAATGTAAATGCCCCTCCAACATGTGGTATGACGCTGTGTAATAACCCAGCGGTAATAACCGTAATAAACGTATTATTGGGCATGTGGCTACCCCTGCTAAACTGCCTCCAACTTGAAGTACAAATACAGCCAGTGCTGTGGTGGAGGCAGGTAGCTCAGATATGAAGCATTAAAAATGCATTTTCTCACGATAATGTTCTGCGTGTAAGTCTCACTAATGTAAGACATCATGTTTAAGTCTTGAAAATCACCAGAAATCACGCTGAAGTTTTACCAATGTCTGGAATCACGTTTAAGTCTGTTTAAGTCTTACAGAGATGCCACGGATCATGCTTAAGACTTTCAAATACCAAGAATCTTACAAATGCCAATAATTACGCTTAAGTCTTAGAAATGCCAGGAACCGCACAATTTTTTTCACTGTGCAATTGATTTCAAAGCTTCCACATGTGTAGGGGCGGCATGGTTTGTAAGGTATATGAAACCAAAGAATGACCACATGTGGTCAGCGGTCCATTTGTAGTTGCTACCTATACATTACCTAGTTCACACTTAATAAAAAGAACAAGTACTGAACCCATTATCGATCAGCATACATCGTGAAACTTTAACCCATAGTTTCTTATTTTGAAACTAATTTTGAGCAATGTGCCACCATTTACCATTATTCACTATAGGGGATGTAGTCGTATCCTTAATGCCTTAAAACGTTATAGTCAATATTCGTGTTTTAATCGAAATATTTCTTATCGTGTTGCTTCGATAAACTCAGTAACTGGTAGAAATAACTCCAGCATGCAACAAATAAAAGAAGAGAGAGACGGACCGGAAGGAGGCAGGATTTTTTGCATTCAAACAAATCAGCGTGTTTCTCTGCATTTAGTGGCATGCTTTCCACAGGAATCGCTATGTTAGCTGGTTTTTCTTGATCTATATGTTAGCTTGTATGACTCCTGCTGTTTTTTATCATTATTCACTAATACGAAAATATTGCTAAGAACCAACTGGTGTATAATCTCTTAATGCAATATTCTATAAGATGATTTCGATGATCTCTGACGGTATTGCCACATGCCAGTTTCTAGGACCAATTTCTGAACCTATTCTAAAATCACCTTGCTGATTCCCCGTCGCTTCATATTCGAACGCAAACTTTCTCAAATAAATCGCAGATTTTAGCAGTGAATGAGCAATTCCAAGCGATTTGTAGAATCAATCAAATATTTTGAACATATTTCCATTTACATGGACACCTCCACAAAGCAGAAGCCTTTTTTTTCAAACTTCCATAGATTGAAGCCATTCCAGGAATTTCCCGCCTAATTCTGTTATTTCAGGGAAGTGTAAGTGTGGTGAAGTTTGTGAAGGTGGCAACAGAAGAATGTCTGGTATTCTGTCTTCCTTACGTACCACCAGTGGTCCTGCTTTGTAATGTTTGTTAATCATGGTCAACGCCCAGAATTATTACAACGCCATAAAACAGAAATAGTTTTCCTTATGCTACAAAGGTATGATTAAATCTGCATTCAAGTTCAGATAATACAACATGCTCTTCAAAGGCACCATGTTGTGATACCGTCATAGTGTGTGTGTGTGTGTGTGTTTGCGCGTGTGTATACGTATGCATTTATGTGTATTTGAGTATGCATTTGAGTGTATGTTGTGTGTGTACGCACAAGCGCGTGTCTTCGTGTGCATGTGTGCCTGTATGAATGCATGTGTGTGTGTGTGTGTGTGTGTGTGTGTGTGTGTGTGTGTGCATACGTGTATGGGTTTTTATTTGCCCTTTTTAGTTGCAGTAAAACTGTGACCAGACAAAGATTGAAGTATTTCGGTTCACTTTATCCCGCGGGATTCACTGGTGGTGATACTGGTATACATTCTCACCACGTGGAGATTATTCGAAACAGAACTGTACAATCTGCCCGTCTGTGTTGTGGAGTAGTTGGCTTGAAGAAGGGGTTCTTTAAGATAAGCCGCTATTTGCCATCCACATTAGTGTCTACTTAGTTAGAAAAAGGCAACCTGTTTATTTCAACTTGTGTTTCACTTTTTTACCGATTTGGGTTTCTTCACGCACACGGCTTACGTAATTACACTTGACATAGCTTTTTTTCAGCAATTTACAGTTGTGATTGCGAGACTGAAATACCAGGTTACGCGGGCTGCGTTCCCTATGATACACCTGAATTAACGCGTAGAACGCTGCCAGTTTTCAATGGGAGGTAGAATGAATTCCAATTCACCATCTGTACGCCCGATTTACTCGTTCTTTGTCTTAAACTTCTGCAATCGAGACGGCAAGTTAGCCACTATTTGACTTGAAGCAAGCAGCGAAGGCATGGTTACAAACGTTTGAGCGAATTACGTCCAGTTTTCAACCTGCTGGTTTAGGAATTAAACCGTGTTTAGACAAGTGGTCAGTGCCGTTAAGGCCTGTCCACTACATGTTTATATTCAGCAGTTAATGAAGACTTGTACTGCGCATCATGTAGAATAGTCTGCTGTGGCATAAAGATACAGGACCAACACGAGGAAAGTATTCTCCTCTATCAGACAGCATTAACCCAGTAAACAGCATTAAGTGGATTTCTTAACAGTGTCTGACTGAAATGACTAACCCGAAATCTGACTTTGATTTGACTTGTGTCGCAGTCCAGAGTTCTGAGATCTATGCAGAAGTCACTTTACCCCCCCCCCCCCACGTTTTTAAACGATCACATCCGCATATAACATAGCATTTACTTTTTATTTTTTCGGGTGATTTTTTTCGGGTGGTTTTTTTCTTTTTTTATTCACTCATTTGTTCAACACATTAGGAATTCTAAAAAAAAAATGACAGCCAGTATCTCAAAGGTACGCTTGGTTTGAACTGTTAATTCCCGTTGCCCTTTTACATCACTAATTCTTGGCATTTCAAACAATTAACCATGCTGAAAATAATTGGCATGTTTACTACGCTAGTCAAGGTATTGACTTTCTTAGCAAAACAATAGTTTTAGTCGGTGACCTGGGTGGCACTTTCCTATTTCATAAATATTTTTCTTTCTCGGCCAATTACTTTGCGGCGTGTAATCTTTTTACCAAGTTGATGTTGCGACCAATAAACGAGGAAGCATGAATGTCGAGCTCGGTTAGTGTGAAATGCTAAGTAGGGCTTATGGACCAGTAATTGCTCACTAAACGTACTTTCAGATTCTACAGCAACAAACTCAGGGAAGATTGATGTACACGCATATGAATTGCGTTTTCTTTAAATTGCAAAATTGCTTTACAATTCACAATTTTCTCTGTTATCACTTTGTCCTAGAGGCGTGGCAAATTGTTTTAATTTGTTAAAAAATGACTGTGTGGTAAAAATGAATGAATCATAAACTTCTCCCCAGTTAAATCTTTTACCAGTTTAATATGAGCCAGTAATTCCTGTCTGTTATAAATTGAGTATTGCATTGTTTCATTTACATGTTAAGCCTGTTTCTGATTCATCGTTAAATCGTAAATATAACAAGCATTTGAGTGATCATTGTCCCAGATTGGTATGTCACTGCTTTTTTCTCTCACAATTCAAGATTTTTGTCTCGCGATGCCCTTGAAGGCATCATTTAAAACAGACGGGTAAATTGCCGGCCATATTGTTTTTTTTCTGCAAAAAGGTCACTTTCACGTTCGTAAGAAACTTTCGTCATGCAAACCTGCAAAAACCAAGATAATTCAGCCTGCATGTTTCTACCATAGGTTTATACCTAAGGCATCTCGACTTACTGCCATCAAATTAAAATAAATGGTCCGATTCATTCATGCACAGATTATAAACACGCAGGAATCATTAATAAATTAAATATCTTGTCTTTCTGTTATTGCCAGTAATCTTATCTTGTCCAGGAGCAGGCCGAGGGCGTATGTTTTATCTGGATACCGCAATATATGTTTTGAATGTAAATCCTGAATGTGGGAATCGCTCGCCGGGCAGTCCAGAGAGTGATATCTGCACGTTGTTATGACAACAGAAAGTTACAGGGCATTGGCTACTGTTATGCCGCTGATACTGTTTTTGTTTTACCTTTTGAAAGCAACTCACGCAGTAACAAGGGTTATGATAAGTCCTAAACCAACACAGAACTAACTGGGCCCTACAAAGTTGTCTAATAAACGTCTCTAATGATCTTTATCAAAGATGACACATTCTTCATTCTAGATAAGATTCTTTTTCTAATAATCTCACAATATTTACATGATTTTCTTTTTTAAATTGCAATATAGTTAAAAGAGATGTTTTGTAGATAGTAGACCTAGTGTACAAAAATGCGGCGTTTTCCCTAAATGCCACGCGTTCTTCGATGAGATATCGTTTGATATACCCCATTCATCAAACGCTGGCTTTAAATAGGAAGACTTACCTGCTAACGTGTTATCGTAGGCCGACACAACCACTGGCGCTTTCGTCCAAATGTTACTGAAAAACTGCACACAGACTGAAAAAAGAAAGTTAAAACAACGATAATAAATTTGCGTAGTAAAACTGCAGACGTGCTAAGAATTCCCCAAAAGTGAATGCCTTCGATTACCGCTCAAACAGTGGTGTTTGTGTGTTTCAATTACAAAGTAAAGAAAGTAAATCGCTCGCTAATTTTTTAACAGGCAGTTACGGATTTACCAGTAATTGCTACTAATTTGCGATAAACAAATATTTTGACGGTAATTACTTACAAATTGTTTGTGCAGTTGATCGGTGCACACAGCAAACGAGCAAAACAAGCAATACAAACAAGCGCTTCATTTCCCTTCCGCGCGATGGTTCCAACTTTGTGTCAGAAGCAGGTAAAACCCCGACAAGCGTGCCCTCTCTCTCCCACGGCCTCCTCACGACGGCAATTCACTCGAACTTAGCAGCGATTTAGGTACCCTCCGAAATTTTGTCGTCATGCAGTACCTATAATTTCATTACTGATCATTATTTTTGGTTCTTGTTTGGCTAAAGTAACCCGATTCCGAGTGGAAAATGTTGTGAAAACAGCAGAATTAGCAGTGTGCTGCAAGTCTATTAAACCCTCCAAAACCAGTCTATTAGAACCATGCCCGCCACTCTCTCCTCTGCACGGTGGTGTTTTTGTACCATTGTTTCACTACTATGCAAAAAAGGAGAAAAAAGAAAAGAGAGGGAGACATTCAGCTTCACGGAGGCTCTTATTCTGCCCAGGGTTCGCCCTGTCCCCTCGAGGCAATTACAAAGAAAAGTGAACAAGGCGCATCAAATGATCCCCCACAAAAACCCGCCTAGGTGGAGTCACCGGCGTTCTCCCGATCTCTCAGGCGCTCAGAAATCTGGGGCCAATTTCAGCATTTCACCTTCTTTGATTTAAAGTAAAACTGTTGAAAGCTGCATTTTCCGGAGATACGTGCGTCAATATGGTCTTCACTCCCGCAAGCACACACCATCGTATATATGTTGTGGTGTAGTGCAGTTTTTTGACACAAGTTTTACAGTAAATTGGTTATCTCCTCTTCAGAACTATCATACAAAGAACCGATGACTATAGCGAAGTCTTTGATACTGGCACCATTCACATAGAAAGAAGTCAATAATCTATCATATGCCGTCTTTTCGTGTCGGTAAATAACCTAAAATGAAGTAACAGGAAACTCGCGCATCGTATTGCATAGTTTGGCAATTTCAAGTTTGTGTAAGCGTCGAAACGATCTGGCAGTTTGTATCAGCAGCGAAATTTCTCGCTTTACTGGAGCTAGGGTAACGTTGCAAAAAAGCACTTTCAAAATTTGGTAGCTTTCAACTGACTTAAGTGTACGAACGCCGGCCCGGTTGTTTACACATGAAGTTATAAAATTAAAGACGGATTTTCTTCAAAGGAACCTCCCTTTAATTTTCAATACACATGCATTTTTTACTTATACAGTGAGGCAGCCTTCGAGGCAGATCTCTGTTCAAATCGAAAGAAAAAAGTACAGCTTGAGTGAAAACTTGTTTCCTCAGAATAAGTTAAGCGTCGGTTTCATGCTTCACGTGGGTTGTCAGCACACTCTCGAGACACAACTCGTTTAATTCTTTCTAAAATAAAGCTGAGGCATGAAGAGTGGTGCTATTAACGTTTAAGTGAACCACTTTTTACATTACTGTTAAAAGCCGACAACATTGATCGCATTCATTCATAAAAATCGCTCAGGTTAGATGGTCGCAGACAAATGATTATTAAGATAATATCTGTAATAGTCTAATAGCAATAGAAAGCATACTCCTGTAGATTCAATGCAAGCATAATTTCCACATTGTTTCCATTCCAACTGTAATTCGTCAAAACTAGCAGCCGGTCGTTTCAGGTCAACAAACCGTTTGTTTAACACATACAATTTACATAACTTGTTTTTTCTACATCAAAAATACATTCACTTTTGGAAAAATTAGCGCTTCGTTGCTGTCACTCATTCATGAAGGAAGTATCCTTTCCATGTAAAACTACTCCCGTACAACGCCCCTGTACCCATACCGCGGGTGTTATGTAGCGATAAATTGGACAGCAAAGGGTAAGGTTAAAACTGGAGTTGAATATTATTTGATTGATTTACAAGCAGGTCGACCTTAGCGGTCCAATGCTTAAGTACTCGTGCACGTCAGTTTTTTTATATTACATCGCTCTCAGTAATTCTGTCCAAAAACCCGTCCTATAGGAAAAACAAGGTGATTTATTTGATATTTAACAGGAGCGCGAGCATAGTGCAACTACTTTCACTTAATCAACTCTTCATCATTTTTATATTAAACTTAATTAAATTATGTTAAATAAAATGACATTAAGATATCCTGTTAAAGAAAAGCCTCGATAAGGACCATGAAGGTCTAACTCTGTACCCAGTACCCAACGGCGTGATTTATTATCTGCACGGTTCGCGGGTTTTATAGTCCTGTATCTTCTCATTTTCAGGGTGTCTGTACTTATTTCTGTAGTCGTTTTTTGCTTTTAATGTCATGAAATTACAAGTATTAGCATTTCCAGGGTAGATATGACAAGCTATGCACGCAACTGCATTTAAGAAAAAGGTTATCAAAGATTTTTTTAAGTGTGCTGGAAATTATAAGCACTGGAAAAATTTAAGAGAATATATAGAAATATTTAGCTTTCAAACCTACGACTTGTATCTCTAATTCTGAAATACAATTTAAAAATACACATACATAGTAGAATCCACAGGAAAAAAGTGGAAAAGTATCTGACGAGTAGAGACGGCTGATCTTGCACCTCAAAATGAGTCATCGCTGATTTTCACTAACTTACTTCCATTAAAACAAAACAGCCAAATAACATTTTGTAGATGCAAACATCTTTAAGGCGATGGTCAGAAATAAAGCAACCGTTTCTGAACAATTCTTCACATTAAGTCTATGCAGCATATAAGGGATAGCGTGGTGGGTCCTGGTAGCTTGCCAACATATAATGTACTGTAAACGTCAGCCGGTGGCGGCAGACCACAACGATCTGTGTCATTGATTGTTAGGTAAATACGACCGCCTAGTCCGACATGTCACAACCTTGACAATTGGCTGGATAGTTTTCTGTATCAATACTTTCGGATATACGTGTGATTTGACAGTAATTCTAGCGTGTACTGTAGCTTGCGGTTGAAATAATACAGCGATGTGGTTTTTATCAGAGTGCGTGTGTCCGTTAGAGATCAGCTTTAAGACGCTAGCTTAAATTTTATCAATTCCACTTTTTTAAAATTGATATTTCAGTCCTTTTCTATATAACATCTAGTTATAATATCAAAAGAAATAGTTATCAAAGTATTTTAGAGTTATTTTATAATTTTTCAAGCTTTTCTCTTTCAGTAAATCACGTGAAGTGACATTCTCAAACAAACGTAAATTACCTTCAATAACAGATGGGCGGTATTCTGTAGGTATCAAAGTCTTAGACAAAAATAAAAAAAGAAAAACTTAGTATTTCCGTAAAGGAATCAGCGAAAGCATAACGGGAATAACATAATTCATTCAACTCAAAAACCGAAACACTGGAAGAAGGGGTTTTATATCACCCCCGACTGGGGGACCCGGGTACAGTATATCCTAAAAGATGGGGGGGGGGAAGTGGGAGTGAAGACACAGAGGTGATCCTTTCTTCACATCTACACGCAATAATTTAAGTACCACAAAAGAGGCAGCACATGCCCTCCCCCTTCAAGGACTTAGCAATGTCAGATCCAAGAAAAGGGGGGGGGCACGGGGCCGACCCTCCCCCCCCCCCCCTTGGCGTGGGGTTCAGGGTCCTGACAAATTTTGGTATTTTAGAGAGCGAACGTTCCTATTTGGTACGGTTTAGAACTATGATTCAGCTAGTCAAAATTCTAATTTCAAGAGGGGACCATTGGTGTGATTTTTTTCAGAAATCGAAGGGGGTGGGTCAGGATATTCGCCACTGTTTTACATATAAAATAGTGATATTTCGATTTGTGGTGCACGTGTTAAAAAACATATGCATTACATTGGATACAAAATAGTAATAAAATCTCACGTACGGGTGCTCATATGGCGCTTCTGAAAATTTAAAATATAAAGTTTGGTCCTAATTTCGATGTATTTGTGTCCTAAAGGAAAGATGACGTAAACAAACAGACACAATACCTGTGCAACTTGGTCAGGGTGTGGAGTTGGCATTTGTTTTGATTTTAGAAGAGAACTAAGCTAACATCAAGAAAGTAAATTGACAGATAAAATGATGGACTGAAGATCTACTGTGGGCAGGATGATGTTTTTATATTAGGGTGCATTCCCATAGATTTTAGATCGATCTATCCCCGTGGGGAGTCTCACTAGATTACTGTCAGATAATCCGGCTTAAATGCCCGTCCCGCCTACTACAAGCTTTAAGGGGGTAATTAACTTTCCTGCCCCCTCGGCTGACGGCTATTTAGCATGAACCCCCAGAGAGTTAGGTCGATCTAGTTGGATCGATCTAATCTCTGGAAATGGGGTCTTAGTGTTTCGTGTTTGGGTGTATTGTTTTCAGCTAATGGATCACAGTTTTTTGGTCATTCTAAAAAAAGACTTTCTTTGGCGTAAAACGGAAATAAAAATCTCTAGTCAATACAATTAAAGTAAGTGAAAAACAGTCCCCATATCTGTTTCTTTGAAGTGCATTGCTGTAGCGAAGCTACGTTAGAACACTGGTGCCTTTTTTAACAACCCTGTCACAACCCATATAACGCACACATAGGGGCATTGCATCGCGGCACATCTATCGCAATCCTTTGCAATTTTTGGACCAGCCGGCTAGGTTCATTGAAACGCTCTATTTCACCTGACATTTATCCTGCCTAATAAACCGTTGTAGACGGTCAGAGCTGGGAGAATTAACTGCATCTGGTATTTGTCTTACGGTAGTGGCTGGCGGTCAAACAAGGTCGCCACTATTACTACTCTAGACTGAAGTAGTGTAAAACCAACGCATGCTTGTAATGGGCCACAAGTCTGCAAAACCAGACTTAAACAACGGCTTCTTTTACGTTAAGTGCTGTGTGCATGAATATTTTCAACAATATGATTTAGACAATCATAATACACCTGCTTGTAAATTAGAATCACGCCCTGGAGTAGTGTGGACAGACGTCACTTTAGTTTAATTTAGGTACACACACCTCAGTTTGTAGATTGCGCACTTGTTTGTACTCGTTTGTTTCAATGTGTAAATAGGCCTATATATTTAATTGGCCATTTTGCTGTTTTTAATTCATAGCAAGAGATTAAATGAAAATCACAGGTTCGTATCTTGACTGTTTGCTTATTATGCATATGTTGATTGTACGTAGATACACTGTGCAGAGACCTTAGTCGTGTCCATGCGCACGTGCATCTGAATACGTGTTTTTGGGTTTGTGTACATGCATCTCGTGTGCACGTGTTCTGTAGCACCTCTTGCTACTGTCACAACAGTGTGCAGTGGTCTTCAGTGCGGGTTAATTGACAAGTGAATAAACGCCAAGAAATGTGAATACCGGTGAAGGAATGAGTAAAATAGTCCGTGCAGGTAAATACATGTAGACTAGTAAGTAGTTCAAATTATCAAATAACTTCAGGCATCTTACATTTTACTCTGCGATGCTGGAGAACGGTTTGGTCACGTGCTATTAGTGCACTCCACATTTGAAACTTCTTGAACTGAAATTGCACAGTGGGTTAATTACAACAAACATAACAACATACATGCTTTAGATCAGGCAGGAAACAATGAATAGTAACACATAGACCAGCAGTACAGTTATGTTGCATTGCCAGATTTCCATGTGCTCAAAGTTTAGAAGACATGTTAGGCACTGGATACAACATACTGACGCCTCAGATGTGGCACAGAGAACACTGTCGTCTGCTTGTTGGTTTCTGTCTTTTCCAACGCTGTCAAATCATTGCGATGTTACTGATAAATGCAAATAATATTCAGGGTGGTTGGTAACATATGGAGACATTAAAATAGGCCCTTCCGGATATGAAACTGCAATCATGCTGTCACCCAACCTATGATACGGACACTATCATAAGTCCTTGAGCTTTCATATCTGGATGGGTCTATAAAATCCATTTTGTTTTTAAGTCACAGAGCAGGTTAAAGTCAATTTTTGGTACAAACCTGCCTTCGTTTAATTACCATCATTCAACGTCAGTGCTCTCAAATGACATCATGGGCGTAATGCTTCGAACGCTTTTTCTTTTTCCGAATTATTTTACGGTTTTCTGTTTTAATATGTTGCATTCTATTCATCGGAATTCATCAGTAAAGTTGATTGAAACGACAAATTAATCAAGGGAAATGTGAATTATTCGTTCGAAGCATGCTGGTCATAAAAAATAGAACATGTTACCATGGTTACCGGTTATCACGTGACGTGACGTAACGTGGGTTCAGTATGAAGAGGGTGCTGAAACAAAGCGTAGTGTCATGCCTGGCGGAAAAGCTCACACATCTCTACTCACATAATAACTGGCCTAAGTTACGATAGTTGTCTAAGTTGTCTGAGGTAGAATTGCCTGAGGCTGTGTCGTTGATCGAATCTCTGCGATTTACAGCTGAAATTGAGAAAGAAAACACACGTCATTATTTCACTATGGTTAGTCTGTCTAGTGAGACCATAACGGGACGTTGGCATTGGGTATTTAGGTGTAGAGACCTGTTGAAACCAGTGACGATACACAGTATTGTAGAAAGCCAGTTATCAAATAAACCGTGATATTTCGACACAGCTGTGTAGCAATAGATCCCTGATTGGTGCGTTAGCAGCATTTTATTCCAAGCGTCTCCTGTGGTCCTCCTTCCACCGTTTTTTTTCTGCGTGGCGAAGCTCCGAACACTGCACACATTACACAGGTCGTTGACCCGCTGAGTGTCAATAACTGACACTTTGTTTCTGCTGTTATCACGACTTGAAGACGATTGCTTTTCTCGGGTCTTTGCAACATGTGGGTTCCTTCGTGTGATATGAAGCGGAAATGTATGCTCCTTGTACAATGTCGCACCTCAAATTCTTAATTATCAGAAGGAAGTTTAAATCGTGAAAAAAATCCATAATTGTTTGTGTAGATAAAAAATGACTGCAGAATGTTTATGTTCCACCTTTGTGTCCACAGCTGATAAGGGAAAACCGCAGCGTTCGTCCAATTAACTTGTATATTATGCAATATTTTAAGTGGGTAAACTTGTAGTGAAATCTTTTTTGTAAAGTTTTGTGCTGCTGTTTGGGTTTTAAAACACCAAGCTTACTACAGTCCTGTAAAACATTTGTATTGTTTTGAGTGTGGACGATGTAAAATTGCCTTTTTTTTAGCTGGACACGGTTTCCTGTTTCCATAGAAACGTCACAGCCAGTGTCCCCAGACCTGCCATACACAGCACGTCCTTCACAGAACCCTTGTTAACTGTTCAGCTTTTTATAGACACCTGCTTGTCAAGCGTATGGCGCTGGAGGGGCAACGAGGGGGGGGGGGGGCGCTCATGTAAGTGAAATTAGAAATGCCTGCATCTCTTTTAGGATTTCTAAATTCGCGGGGAGCCCATGTTTCTTGATTGTAAAATTGTTCTGAATATATAGCGCCCAATGTGCAACACTGTACACAGATAACTTGTAATATCGCGTGCCTCGTGCCTCAACATAGGATACTATTATTTCCCACTACTCCAGTAAACTGCGGAGTGTAAAGCTCTGAGAACGCGGTCTAGGGTAAGTTTTACCCTCGCCTTCATTGCTGAAATGCTCTTTTTTTTCTTTCAAATATCTAGCACACAGTTGTGTTTTCAATCTTCTGCAACTCTGGCCAGTAGGACGGTGTAATGTTGCGTCGCTTATTGTTCAATAAGGTGAATCTGAGCCCTTGTGAACGAACAACTTCGGAGTTTTTTTTCTATAAACAAATCATTTAAAACTTCCGCTATTTCTAAAGCTATGAGTAATTTTTTGAACAAAACTACTGTTGTTTCTTGTTGCTCACTGACCATCTTCTGTAACCTTAATTTTTTTCATGATTTAGGTTTACTAGTATTTTAAAATTGCAGTCTTATAAGAATTGTCAAGTGAACGCAAGGTGTTGAAAAAATTTTTGAAAAACAAGAAAAGAACTTTAACAGAAGCATAAAGATTATCCGATAAAAGCTATTTTGAGAAAACACACACACGGACACACACACACACACACACACACACACACAGAGAGAGAGAGAGAGAGAGAGAGAGAGAGAGAGAGAGTAAAGAAGTCTGTCCCGACGGGAACACACACCGAGGTGCACGTGTCCATGACGTAGTTTCAGACTTGAATTAACCTTTCTGTTACCTTATATGTACGACAATCGGAAAACCATGTGCTAATAACACTTGATTGAACACAAAGAAAATAAGGAAAGGTGGAATAAGTGAGTGGATGTAAGTGTAGATCAACGCCCTTTCTGTGTTCGTTACCTAGACCTGGCAGAGCGCAGGCACCTTTTTCCTCTGTTTTGGGACAGGTGGGGTTAATATGGGGTAGTACAGGGACACATTTATAAACACAAGAGACTTGATACATACGACCCCGTCTTAAGGAAAACACAGAGGGTTGTTTCGAATAGGCTACAACTTACATTTAAGTCTAGAAACACTGATATTTTTCAAAACACAGCACTAAATTATGGCTGATATTTGGGAAGATTGTTACATGTTTAGCCTTACAATGAATGCATTGATTAAAATGAGGAAAGAACAACGAACATTAGACGAAAGCGTAATAGAAGTGATTTTTGATGATTGAATAATTGAATCCTGTTTCTATAGGGCATCTTTGTTCAGGCGCCCAGGGTTTTAACTACTTGATCGCCGCACAGTTGTGGAAACGCTTTGTGTCAGCGTTCATTGAAAGAGGAATCGCCAGGACGATAAGCGTACGCCTTAGTTATTGCCGTTTAATTTGATGAACAAATCTGTGCAATTGTGTCTGCAATGTTACAGCTCCGGATTTTTGGTATTTTACCAATAATTTTCCATAAAAAAAACTTTAATTTCTTTGGCCTGTTCACGATGAAACCTCATAGAGTCACCGATGTGAATAACCCTTTGATTAAAGCATACTAACATATCGTGACTTAGACCCCATTCCCATAGCAATTTAGATCGATCTATCCCCCTGGGGAGTCTCACTAGATTGGTGTCAGCTTAACAGGCTTAAATGTCTGTCCCGCCTACTAAAAGCTGTAAGGGGGTAATTAAATATGGTGCACGCTCGGCTGACTGCAATTTAGTGTGAACCTCCAGGGAGTTAGGTCGATCTAAATCTAAATTTCTGGATTGATCTAAATCTCTGGGATCACTCTTACAGTAAACAATGGTAGTTATTCTATACCACATAGAAGGCGGGATGATGCTAAGGTGCTGACGTGTGTCTACCTTCGATTGGTGGTAATGTTTGACAGCACCATATTCTTTTTTTCTACGGGTCGATCTCAGGTTCATTTATCTTATTTCTTAAAAATATTAGATCAGACTTAACAATTATATATATCGAATAGGCTACAACTTACATTTAAGTCTAGAAACACTGATATTTTTCAAAACACAGCACTAAATTATGGCTGATATTTGGGAAGATTGTAACATGTTTAGCCTTACAATGAATGCATTGATTAAAATGAGGAAAGAACAACGAACATTAGACGAAAGTGTAATAGAAGTGATATATAATCTTTAGAGAGGGTCTTTCAAATTGCTAAAGCAAACGTGAAACGCAGTAACAATCCTTAGTCAACCCTTCATTCTTCTATCACTGGCAGTTCCATTTTAAGTCGCCGAGGAACGTCCGTATATCTAATAATTTTTTGCCTTTACTGCTATTATCAAAATTAATGAGAGGGCCATTAATGAAATATAACGCATATTAAATAGCTATCTGTGTAAATCATTGCAGCGTGTGGATACATGCATGTACGCACATAAAACACGAGGACTGGGCCGTTAAGAGATTAGCCGCAAGGCGTGGGAATACCTCGCTTTACTCTTTGCACCAAAAAACACCATCTAAAACTGGAAAGAGCATTAAATTGAAGTCTTGTGGTCACTTGTGGCCTAAAATGAAACCAAATCAAAATGAATTAGCAGGGACAACAGAAGCCAAATCACCATCAGGTCATAGTATACACTACATGTAGTGGCCAGCTCCGGCCATCTTTCTTTAGTTTGAAGGAGAAATGACCCCCTGTGAATTTAACTAATGCTTTTTATTCGAGCACAGAACACAAATGGGAATCCGAGAAGAGGAACCTCCGATAAGAACGCTTCCAATTTTCTGGAACACTACCTTTTCAAGTGGGGGCCTTGCGAATAAGTGCTTTTTCTTGCAAGATTAAACCTTATACACACATGTTTGTTTGACCAGAAACAAATCTTTACATGGTCAATAATGCACAGCGCCGTAGGGGAAACGGCTTCAGTATCCACTAAACAAAAGCATAGAACTATAACTGTTTTTGCATCAAAGTTCCCGTGATAGCCATCATTTCTGCAGATTGCCCATCAAAGTCCTGTTCGTAATTTGCATTAACTTATCCTGACGGTTCATTGAAAAACCATCATCTTTCCTACATTATCCCACTATCAACATCACTGTCTTCCTTACCAGCACTATCCCACTATTATTATCATCACCATCTTCATCTTCTCTACCTTCATCGTTATACCACTATCGTCACCATCAGCATTCCAGGTTTTCTTCCCAGCATCATCCCACTCATTACCATCTTCTCTACAATTATCCCACTATTTTCATCATCACCATCTTCTTTCAAGCATCATCCCACTATTATCATCATCACCATCTTTTCTACCACTGTCCACTACCATCATTATCACCATCTACCGTGCCAGAGTTATCCCACTATTATCATCATCACATCTTCCCTACCAGAGTTATCCCACTATTATCATCATCACCATCTTTCCTACCAGAGTTATCCCACTATTATCACCATCACCATCTACCCTACCAGAGTTATCCCACTATTGTCACCATCACCATCTTCCCTACCAAAATTATCCCACTATTAGCATCATCACCATCTTCCCTACCAGAGTTATCCCACTATCATTATCACCATCACCATCTTCCCTACCAGAGTTATCCTTTTATCATCACCATTATCCTCTTCCCTACCAGAGTTATCCTTTTATCATCACCATTACCATCTTCCCTACCAGAGTTATCCCACTATTATCACCATCACCATCTACCCCACCAGAGTTATCCCATTATTATCATCATCACCATCTTCCCTACCAGAGTTATCCTATTATTGCCCTTTTAAATAAAAAGTGCTCGTAAACGCACTAAGTTCCAGCTTCAATGTCTGGCTACAGTAGAACAGTATTTTTCTATTAGAAAGGCACTGCTACTGCATAATGGGAAATTTAATAGAAAGGTAATCAACTCAGACAACATAGAAAGAGGCAAAGAACTTTGATCAAAAGCAACAGAGAGAAGCTTTTAAGGAAAGCAGACACTGGGGACACCGAATTGGTCAGAAAACAGAAAAGCAAGGTATGGTCTGGAATGGA